TTAATTTTGTGTGACTGTACAGGTGTGCTTAAACACACTTGGTAATGGATCATCCAAAATAAATACTGACGTAACGGATCTTGGCACCTGGCTGCATTGGGCAATGTTTACAATGAGCAATGAAGATAACGGAGTGTCAGTACAGGATATAACATATATGGTATATTGGCACGTATCAGTCAAGCTGAAAAAATGTTCTTGGCAGTCACAAAATTAGACAATAATAATTGTTATCACCTATAAACTAATTTTTGTACTTTACCACATTTTTTAAAACATTTTTTACAATTGATGAACTGCCTTCGAGCAAACATTTAACCCACTGCTGCTCCAGTCAGGTTGGTTAGCGGGAGCTGTGAGAGTAAACCACATTTTTTATTATCTTTACAACTATTTCTAAAGGGACAAAAGGCTTAAGCAGATGCATACACAAACACTTTCTAACTTTTGATCCAAAAGTTTCTGTACCCTGTGACTCAAACGTGTCACTCTGCAGTTTCCACCAGGGGATTCAGAGGTATGAGATGGAGAGGGGTAAGTGAGGGGGTGGATGAGGGGAAACGGGGGGTCGGACAGAGGTGAGTAAGAGATGAGTCAACAGCCCTCCACTATAAGATATCCTGATGGAGCCTAACAGTGGCATACGCTCAGGCACCAGCGAAGGTAAGGTCAACTCTCCTCTCCATCTCATTCATTCAGGCTTCAACTCTTCCATGTTTGTTTCACTATCTGTGTTCTTAGAGACACTTGGTCTTCCTCCATTTATCAGTGCATCTGTTTGTTTAACTGTTAACAGTGTTTAGGGATTATTCAGTGTTGGATTTATTTGTAGATAAGTGTTAAAGATGCCAGTGAAGCATTGCTTTAAGATAAATTCTTGGTTGTTATATCCATTGTGTGCGTAGGTGAGGTTTTTAAGGATCTCCAGTCTATGCTCTGTGTCTATTTGTCAGAGCATGTAGCAGAGATTTGGAAAACCGGGGGTTGAGAATAATCGTATCAGCCAAAGTCAGTGATCTTTGTACCTGTTACACAGTCAGAAATTCACAGGTGTCTCTATCACAAATATTTGCTGCCATAATCAAACATACTGAGTAAATTACTGGAAAGAAGCTTGTTTATATGTAGAAAAATGATGACATGCACGGGGAACTGAACTCATGTCTGCTGTCTTAGTGAGATGAGACAATGGTGACTGAGAGTGGAATAACTGCAAACAATATTAAAAGGGAGAGGGTAAACTACGTAATCTCTGATCATGTCCAATTTTATTTCACCAGGGTTACCAGTGCTTTTCTGAATTCTGTACATCCGGGGAATTACTACAAATATGGACTACACTCTGGCCATCCTGTTTTCTATGTTGCAACTTTTAAGTGTGAGCATGGCTGCTCCTCTGCCGGTGGAAGTCGTGAAGATGAAATCGAAAGTGAAATGGATGGCTGAACAGCTAGTGGTTAGGCTGAACAGAGATTTCGAGGTAACATTCTGATTATGGTGACACAGAGTCTGAAGTGTTTACAAAGGTTGGTTTGTTTTTGACTGTACTGTTCCCTCTTTTGCCGTAGGTCCCTGCTGGCCTGACACTTAGTCCACCTGCTGATGATCTGGATGGACTTTCCTCCATAGTGACAATCTTGGAGGGTTACAACAGCCTGATATCCGACTCCCTCATCGGGGTCTCTCAGGTCAAGGTTGACATCTCTTCGCTGACGGGATTCCTCAGTCAGTGGAGGCAAGGACACTGCAGTGAGCAGCGACCCAAGCTTTCAGTGCCGGGGGTGCTGCAAGAGCTACAGAGACGGAAAAAGTTCATTCACACCGTGAGCATGGAGGCTCTCATGAGAGTGAAGGAGTTCCTCAATCTGCTGCTGAAAAATCTAAATCATCTCGAGACTTGCTGAAAGACAGACATTCAATATTTTAAGATTTGCAAGTCTGCATCAGTGTTGCCTGACTTTGCATTCTCCCCCTGGCCACGATGAACTTTTGCAATGTGTTTTGAAGGAAATGTATTCTTGAACATGCACTTATTTATATACACATGTATTTATTTATATATTTTAGTATTAGTAAAATATGTATTTGGTAACATTGTTACAAAACACACTTTTCATCAGGATGTTTGCAGCAATAACGTATGTTCAGCAGGAATGTTTATATGCAAACTGATTTGACAGATTGCTTCTGCCTCTGGGTGAAAAATATGGATCTATATATTAATTCAGTCATGGATCTGATGTGTAAGGTTGACTGCAGCCAGAGGAAATCACTGAGTCATCCCTGGAAATTCCTGAAAACCAGCTTGAAACCCAGAACAGTTATGTTTATATGAGAATTAAAGATAACAGGAAAGACAGTATTTCAATGCAATATCATCAGCTCTTCCAAAATGGCTATTTATATCCGTAGATATTTTGTATATTTTTGTACAGTTGACACTATTTTTTTATAACTAATGGATTAATAAATATTTAACAATATGTGTATAATATGAAAGTCTGTCAGTGATGACTGAAAGATGGATGCAAGAGGTCAGAATGAAGTAAAAACAACTCGTACACCAAGTTAAAATATAACATCAGTTGTGGGTGGTCCCCTCTTGCTACACTTCATTCAAGGTTCCTGAGTGGGAAGTGTTTATCCAGAGCTATCAGTTTAAGATCAACTCCTGATAAAAGTGAGCATTACCAAAACTGAAAGTAATTGCAACTGTTGCATCTGTGAATCTAACAAATGTGGATTTAAAACAAAGACATAATGATCAACAATAAAATGCAAATGCAATGGTTTTATTATATTTTCATAAAAAGCCATGTACACGGGGGGAAAATAATCTTACATTATTTAGTTTGTTTAGTAGTAAAAAAACAAACACTGATTACAGAAATGCAGGAACGGGTAAGTGGCAGTAGAGCTTCACACATGGACATTGTATACTGTACAATTGACACCGAACTATTGTACTTATTCTAAAACCTCTGGATGTCGAATGTGGAGGACCTCTGTTGCCATAATCACATTTATTCTCTCTCTCTCTCTCTCACACACACACACACACACACACAAACAAACATACATACACACGCAGCATTAGCTATCAAACCACTTGTTTCTTTTCATGTTGGTGTTCTTGTCACCGCTACCCATCAGTTTCTTTTTATACTGCTCCACCAGGTTGTCAAAACGGTCCCGATCCCTGCCCTTGAAATTCTTCTTTGCCGTGTTAACCTTCTGGAAGAGAACAAAATAAGACATAAGGTGTCAATAGGTGTATCAGGACAACTCTGATAAAGTGCCACCAAACTAACAAGTAAAAAACAGTTTGTGTACCTGATGGATAACGCTTTAGATCTTGGCCTACAATGTACAGCAAAATTCTCTCCTACTTACAGTGCCACTTTTTGTCCTGACGGTGTAGTTAAAAATCTTACAGTTCTCTTTAAGTTCCCACGAAACACCAGATTGTTGGCCATACTGTACTACATCATATATAATACTGAAAAATGCCAACAGTATAAATTATTTTTAAGTTCCCAGATTGTTTTCCTTTATTTCCCAACGTCACATCTTGTTCACTTGTCCTTACATGTATGTATCAGTATCTACTGTACTAGTACACAGTCAATTTAAAAAATTACATTGCACGTTGCAGGTGATACTCTCCAATATAAATTTTAAAAATATAAAATTTCTCAATTACATCTCATAACATCAAAACAAAGAATGTTCCACTTTTTGTTTAATTTAGAACCAGCTGTTTGCATTCATCAGTGCGTATTATCCTTCAAATATTTCTTTGAAAATGGCCCTTAATGCACTTTAAAAACTAAAAACATACTGCCAGAAAAGAAAAATACTGTTCTCCTCCTGCATAGGACTTTTTATGTTCAGCTTTTCCGTATTAGCTTGTTAGCCTAATTAGCTTCCATGTTTAAAAGTGTTACAGCCATTAGCTAACGGTCTGTACAGTTTATCACCAGTAATCTGAGCAAGGTCCTGATCAAGTATGACAGAGTGATCAGGGTGTAAACCACAACACAGCTTGCTACAAAGTAACTGTGGTGGTCAACAAACACTGACGTCCCTATAGTGTTGCAGTATGTCAAGTGTAACTACAAAGTATAGTGCAACTGAGGGAGGATGTTTAGGGCTGATATTTGTGAGATTAAAACAATAGTTTTTACATTTCTACAAATGTTTGACTTTTTTTGTAAAACCGTCTGACCAATAGATGCACTTAGTGGAATAATACTAATACCCCCGACAATATTTCTTACATGATCTCAAAAATATCTTTAGTATTTCATCAATGATATCTGGTTATAAAACGCTGTACATAGTGCACATACATCTCTTATTCTTATTTTTCTATTTTCATTGCATCTTATATTTTTCTATTCTATTTTGACTGAATGTGATTTTCCTTATCTATTGTTGTTGTTTCTTGAGCTACTGTAACAAGTGAATTTCCCCAGTGTGGGAACAATAAAGTCTACCCTATCTTATCAGTTGAACAATGTGCCAAAACCAATACAGCGATAAACTCATGTTGGCCAAAATTAATTGTCTGTACTACAAAGATGCCTAAACAGAATAGCAAGGCAGAAGTTAAGTCACATGCTTATTTTCATATTATCAAATACGATTTTCAATATAATTACTTGTCTCTATCCCAAATTGTTTGATGCCTGGCTGAAATGCTGAAAAAAAGCTGATTAAATGTAATGTTCCAAAAAAATATTACTACAAATTCACTTGGTGGCGCCAAAGCATTAACAACTAAACAACTGAAAGACACATCTGTGCTGAATCTGATGCTTGTATCTACTCTATATGATAAAGAGCTACATGTCTTTACAATGTCAATATTGTTAAACTTACAGGCACTTCCTCCGCAGGTGAACTGGACCAGACTGCCGGCAGCAGCCAGTTTAAGGACTTTTGATTTAGTTTGGGAATGTTTTCAAGTAAGAGTCTTCTCAACTACATCTTAACTTCACAGACATAGGAGCTTTTCTTGGCGCTGAAATCTGTCTTGGTGTATTTAGTAGTTTCTAATCAATCAGTGAGTAAATCAGTATATTTTGTGAATATGACTAAAGATTATAAATAAACATATACACAGAGTGTGTATTAACCTGGTTTCTGGGCTGTGTGGGCTTTTCCATCTGTCGTCTTTGATGCTCTTTCCTGTTGGATCCAGCCCTTGCTTGTTTGGGTGGTGGAGCCTGTTGCTTTCCTTTGTCACGCATTCTGCAAAAGACACATATTCACAATCTGTTGAGTCATAGTCAATTGTGTCATATGGGAATTTCTAAGGATTACCCAATGTTTTACATGACTGTTTCAAACGTTTTGGGTTTTATTAGACAGGAGCAGCTGACGATAAACCGGAAAGGGCCACTGGTTGGAATCAAACTCACAGAGGATGCTGCCTTTGTACATTGAGCACACACTCAAACAGGCCAGCTATCAGGGCGCCCCCTTTTCATGTATATGTGACAGAGAAGCAGATTTTCTACTATGTTTTGCAACTGCTAATTTTTCTGAGTGACATATAGTGCATTGTAAAGGTAATAAAAACGGTACCTGATCTTAGGTCCACGATGGGAGGGCAAAGCTAGAACCGCCCTCCGTTTCTTTCCGTTCTCCAAATTTACATGCTCAACCTCAGGTCTGGTCTGGAAGCCAAAGTATTTGTTTTGCCTCTGGCGTTGAGGAGGAGCTGCTGAACACAGAAAAGTGGACAGAGAGAAAATCAAAAGGAGTAAAAAAGAAAAAGAAAACAGCAAAAATAAAAAGGCCAAGTTTAGACTTCAATTTCATGTTACAACCAACGGCAATACGGTTTCTCCACAGCATTAGTGTGCTGTGCTGTATGCGTGCTTCATGTTTTTCATCACTTATAAGCCGATCTGCACCAACTAATGTTCTCTCAACTGGACATAGACTGAAAGAACATAAATACAGAAATATTTTCACACCTCTCTCCTTTCCTGCCTGCTCTGATGAAGACTCTGCTTTATTTCCACCTTTCCATGGTCCTTTTCCATGTTGGGCAGTCTGGGACTGAGGTTTCGCTCCTCCTTTAAAAGACTGATTTCTGGAAAACTCCTGCAAAAATATCAACACAGGGTTACTTTCTATTTAGAAAAAAAAAAACATTGTTTTAATTTAAAGGACCAGTGTGTAGGATTTAGTGGCATCTAGTGGTGTAGCAATGCCTATGCCTCAAACTATTGTTCCAAGTATGAAGCATAAAGTACGGTGGCTGCGAAACCCACGATTAAGACGAAAGGCTCTATCTAGAGCCAGTGTTGGGTTTATCTGTTTCGGGCTACTGTAAAAACACAGCAGTTCAACACAGTGGCCTAAAAGGAAGAGGACCTGCTCCCCCTGTAGGTAAAACCAGCTCATTCTAAGGTAACGAAAACAAAGCAATTCTTATTTGCAGGTGATTATACACTAATAAAAACATATCTATGAATATAACATTCCATTTCTTCCAATAAGTCCTCCAAAATGTTACATACTAGACCTTTAAAATGGGGAAACTAAGATGCAACTATCCACAAATTGATACAAACACACCTTATTTTTTTGATGTCGCATTTCTTTTATTTTGAGTTTTCTCGAATCCTCCAGGGAGAACTCAACAATAGGTCTCTGCAGGAAGACATAAAATGCATAGTTAGTAGTAGTTCCACACAAACAGTAGAGTGCTAGTGGACCAGTAGAATAACTATATAAATGTTTTTTATATCATCCAGTGTACCAAACCAAATAAACACCACAATGTTAAATCTTAAAGTTCTAAGGGTAAATAAATACAATAGCAAGACAGCAAAAACACACTTATAATGAAGTACTCCATTGCAAAAACGTACCTTGTTTGAGCCAAAGATGTCGGGGTTGTTGTTAAGGTAACGAAGTGTGCTGAGAGCGTGTTCGTGTTCCTGGAACTGGACAAAGCCGTAACCTAATGATTGTCCCATAACCTGACCCTTCTCTGGCTTCCTGTCATACATCACCCGACACTGATAGGAGAAATTGGGAGTCACACACACAAACAGCATGAATAAGAATGACAACACCACCTTCTACTGGGCAAACAGGAGTATTTTTTTTATTCTACGACAGCCTGCCATTGATAAATACTACTCACACAAAACTGTTTCCAAGAATGTTTTACAAAGCAGACAATGAATTATAATGATTATGTTATATGATCCTGCCATATTCAATAAAATGTCTTGTTTCTCACCTCTGGGATCCTGATTCTCTTGTCCCCTTTTACTGCTTGGAGGCAGAGTTCTCGGAGTTGTTTATCTCCCACGGACTTGGGCAGGTTATGGACACACAGACGAGTCTTTGACACATACACACCTATGTCTCGTAGCTTGGCCCTTTTTACTTCTTCAAACTAAGGAAAATGGAAGACACCAAATATACACGTCAACATTAAATGGTAAATGTAAGATCAACTCTTATGCATTAAAATGGTTCTCCAGGTAGAAACATCTAAAATGGTAAATGAAAAATTAACTCACTCTGGTTCTTTTGATCATGTCTGTTTCAGACACACCCTCTGCAGCCTTGGTTCCAGCACGGATCACTGAGTGTTGCAGTCAGAAGAGAAAACGTAAAGCATATGAACAGATTTAGAAGTAATTTTAATACTTTAATAGGGATGTCATAAGACAGACTTAGCTTTCTTTTGTAGTTGTTAACAAGAAAAATATAAATACAAAAAAAAAAAAGTACTGCAGGTCAAGAGGCATAAATAGAAAAACTGAAAACGTATTCAATAGAAATAGACGCATGTACAATATGACTGTTAACTGGAAGCAGTACAGCTTGTGTAGGATGGGTAGGGGGTTAGGTTCCTTATAAATCTGCATGAAGCACTACCTTTAATATATTGACAGTGTATCAACATTAAGGTTTAAGATAAGGAGCACTAGTCGAGCTGAGTAAGATTACAAATTGGTGGTACAGAAGGAGAAAAGAATAGCATGAAATGGGTTTACTCACATCCCTCTCTGGCCAGGTACAGGTTCCTGGTGCCCGTTTGTACTTTCACCTTGTCGACTTTCAGCTTGGCGGCATCTTCTCTGGTCACTGCTGCCGCAATCAACAGCTTCCGGCCATCTACACGGATGCCACCACTCTGCGTCAAATAACCCAACATTACAACAAGGTAGCAACATCAACCCATTGCACAACGCAGGACAACAGATAATGCCATCCCATTTAAAAGGTAGATATAGGTCATTAACTAATTAACTATAACCCTTATAGTTAATTATTCAGAAATTAATCCATATAAGATTGAACATTACCTCCGCCTCATCCTGTGCTACAGCGATGCATTTGTCTGCAGCTTCCTTAGTCTTAAACTGAGCAAATGCAACACCTGGCAAAATAAAAAATAAATAAAAAAATGAGTCAACCCATATTCTCAAACAGAGAGGAGTTTTTCAATTAATCACAGCTTACTGACCTTTTGAATGTTCTGTGTCCGGGTGGATACAAATCTTTACGTAGTTAAGTTCTCCATACTGTAGGAGAACTTCCTCAAGACCCTCTTCCTCTGTGTCAAAGGACAGGTTCCTAAATTTGAACAAAGATGGTGTTAGGATTATGAATGTGTAGATGACTTGAGGAGAAATAGGGCTTGCGGTAAGATAAATGAAGGCAGGTTTAAGATTAAGAAGTGAGAAGAACTGCAAACCTGATGAAAATTGTTCTGCCCTCTTTCACATCTGAAGGGAGAGGTTTCCTTGGGGCTTTCTTTCGAGCTAAAAGTAGAGATAAAACATATAGTAGCAGACAAGCTGTGTCAAAACAACATTTTTATGATAGAAAATATTCGCATTACATTCCAAATTTAAAACCCAAGCAGAGAATTTATACCTGATTCATCCTCTTCGTCGTCCTCATCCTCCTCACTCTCATCTTCATCATCATTTGAATCGAGGCTACTCTTATCATCATCGCGTTCATCTTCTCCCTCCTGAGACATCTCCTCCTCCTCCTCTTCTTCTTGATCATCCTCATCATCATCATCATCATCACCCTCCTCCTCACTGTCTTGTTCTTTACTATCATCTTCATCATCTGATTCTTCCACCTGCTGCACAGCTGGTTTGGCAGTGACTCTGAGGACAGATTTGGCACAAAAGTAACCAGTCAGGTAACCAGTTTTGAAATCACCTAGTGGAATTTTTAACAGACATGTTTGTAGTTCATACTTCTTCTTCTTCTCCTCAGGTGCTGCTTGCGTCTTTTCTTCATCCTCCTCATCAGTGTCACTCTCTGTGTCTGACTGTTTTGCAGTTGCCGCCACGGTACTCTTAGTTCCTATTAGGTAAACAAAACAGTGTTAATGACTACCACCTTGTAATGATTATTATTACACAAATGTTTTTTTTAATGTTAAAATTACCTGCACTTGAGGATGGCTGTGTGGCAATAAACTGGTCCTTAGCCACAGCCCAGTCGACTGCGACCTGCCGTCCTGTGAATGAAACAACAACATTTAAAAACAGTCACGTGATAGAAAATAAAAGATAATCTCCCAAAGTAAGAGGTCAACAACGAACACAACCTCTCACACAACAGTAATGTAAATGTCTCACTCACTGACCTTTTATCTCCTTCAGGTTCAGAGCATTAAGTGCTTTCGCTGCCTCAGACACATTTTTAAACATGACAAAAGCAAATCCTCGCATCTTCCCGTCTATAAAAAGAACATAAAAAACAAACATCATGAGAAAAGAATCAGTCAACTTACACAGCGGTTAGATAGCAATTCAATTTGGCTTATTGGCACATCCACTAAGAGTTAACAGCCTTTTTGTTTTACCAGGTTTGAGGGGGATTTTGGCCTCAAGAACTGTTCCAAACTTGGCACAGACTTGCTTCAGGTCATCTTCGGAGCACTGTAACACAAGACATGTCATGTGCTACAGGTCCAGCAAGGAGCATACTACTTTTAAACAGTATATATGTATCCAAAATGTATTTAATAACATACTGTACCTTAAAACTAAGGTTCCTTATGATGAGTCTGGCTTTCATTTGGACTTTCCTGAAGCCTTTGGGTTTCTTCTCACTCTCCTTTGGTGCTGCAGCTGGCTCTTTAGGTGCTGCAGCTGGCTCTTTAGGTGCTACTGAAAGACATGAGGCAAGGTTATCAAGAAGACATGGTCCAAGAGCTAGTTTTAGAAACATGGCTTTCTATCTATACACACCTGTTTTCTTTTTGTCTTTTATTTTCTTCTTTGCCACTGACAGAGAAAGCTTCTTTCCGTCGTATTCTTTTATTTCTTTCATGGCTCGCTGTGCATCTTCCTCCATGGAGTATGTGACATAGCCAAATCCCCGACATGTCTCTGTTCCTGGTTTATAAATACGAATGTGTTATTCATTTTTACGTTTACGTTTTATGACAATTAAGTAAAGTGTCTTAGTTACATTCTTATGTGTGCTAAAAACACACCGAATAAACGACAGCGGCAACCTCACCTTTCTCTCTGACCACGAAGCATTGCTTCACCGGACCAATTTCAGAGAATATTTCGGTTAAGCGTTCATTTGAAGCTGAAGCTGGTAGAGAACCGACGAATATGGTCTGCGCCGGCATGGCTGAGTGCTGCCCGGCTAACGCAGCGTTACCTCGCTAATGTGAGCCCCTCGGCCTCGGTAACGACAGGCTGTGGTAATAACTCACAAACCGGTGTCTGTTGTTAACAGTTCAGCACTGGGAGATACTGTCGAGCCGCTAGATATCACACGAATGCGTGCTATAGAAGTATTAAAGTTTACCACCACTAGCTTTTTCGATTAAGTCGCATGTTTACATATGTGGAACGCCATCTTGGGAAGTTAATGGAAATGGTCTGAAGCGCACATGGAGAAAGCTGGTCCGTACCGCCGCCTAGAGTCCTGGAGGCTTACATGTTTGTTTGTTTGAGATAGATGACAAACCACTTCAAGTTACTTTTACTTATCTGTATATATACTGTGTATTTCTAATGGGAAAAAAAAAACTAATTTCTTCTGTTTATGTACATTTTTGTTGTTTGTATTTGGCAATGTTTCCCACTCTGTTTCCAATGTCAATAAAGCGAAAAATTTAATGACAGAAACGAGTAAAATTAAAAGGACAAATTATATACAATAACTAAAGTGAGTCAAATATAAAAATTTAGAATAGACTCAAATAAATGTGTGAATAAATATGAGACGTGATTAATAAATGCAATAAATAAATGTACAAGTGCAGGTGAGTAGTCTGACCTTATTATGTGAGAAAGGGAAGTAAGGCTTTACTCAGACACACAGATAATTGTTGAACAGGGTGATGGTGCTCTTTATTTATCAGCTACAAAATCTGTTCTGCAGTTAACAACAATTACCTTTTTGGATGTGTCCTCTAATTTCCTCTTTAAAAAGCAGTAATCAGGCACACAAACACAATGCTTTAGATTGCCACTTTAGCACAGAACATACTGATCAGCCATTATATGACCACCTGGGCACCCTGGTGGTCATAATGTTATGCAGCCCCATACGCGATAAACTGTGATACACTGTGTGTTCTGACACTTTTCTGTCAGAACCAGCATTAACTTTTTCAGCAATTTGAGCTACAGTAGCTCGTCTGTTAGAAATGGACCTCACAGGCCAGCCTTCACTCCCCACGTGTATCAGTGAGCCTTGGCTGCCGATGACCCTGTCTCCGGTTTACTGCTTTTCCTTCCTTGGACCACTTTTGACCTAGACCTAGACCCAGTCGTCTAGCCATCACAATTTGGCCCTTGTCAAAGTCACTCAAATCCTAACGCTGCTCATTTTTCCTGCTTCTAACACATCAACTTGAGCACAAAATATTCATTTGCTGCCTAACATATCCCACCCACTGACAGTTGCAATGATAACGAGATAATCAGTGTTATTCACTTCACCTGTCAGTGCTCATAATGTTATGGCGGATTGGTGTTTAATCAACTCATTTTAAATACATTGTTGAATTTTCTATAAACAAGTAAAAAAAAAATAAAAATAACAACAGACCTTAAACATGATCCCTTTACATTAATTTGCAAACCACACACAAGAATAGACATGTAACACGTAAACAAAAAATGTTTGCATTATAATTGCACAAATCACACCATTGTTCAAGTTATGAGACACAGAACTTACAGTATTAGAGGCACTATTTAGCAGACATTGACAGTTTTCAAGTTGAAGGCGTTACTCCCTTAATGTTTTGGTAGATTGTGAAAGCACCATTCATTTGTACAGATTTACCACTTCGGTTCAATATGCCATCCGTCTCAGGAATATTGTAGTGTTAGCACCATCTACGAACACCAACATGGTGGAATTTCTTGTGGAAGAAGAAATATTCTACTAAGCACTTGCAGACCCTCAAAAGAATCAATGGTCCCTCGAGATGTGTGAGATGAAATAATTTTTTTGTCTCAAACATAATAGAAAATACTGCATTCAATGATAGACGCTGGCTGGTTTCACAAGTTACATGTCAAGTTTCATTGCCCTGTGTTCGCTGTCACAGTCAACTTTATATATATAAATAATAATATATATCTGAGAGAAGAGTACAACTAAATACCAGTAAAGGTTAAAAACACTCTTCCTAAACAAATCAGCAAACAGTTTTGTATTTTAGCGTATTTTCCTTAGTAAGACACACCTAATGAAACAGCAAATGTACAATATTTTATGAACGTAATGTTAACTGTACTAAATAGAAATTAGAAGCAGCAAGATTTACATGTAGCGATTTGTGGCGCAAAAAAACATGCTAATACACAGTTGATGATGCTAGAGCTAGTATCAACTAAATCTCTGCAACTGGCAACAGATTTGGAATCGAAGACCTTGGAGGTGTTTTCTTTTTCAAAGTTGGAGCATCTGTATTCTCACTCCAAGATAACAAGGGGGTGCATTTAGATATAAATGAGACAATGTGACTGTGTGTCTGAGCTGCATGTGTGTGTTTGCATAGCTGTAAAATGCAAATGAACAACAGTATTCAACACATTTGCTTTGGAAACTGTAGTCTGAGGCCAGCTACAGTATTTGGAGAATGTAGTCCAACTGAGATCAGATATGTGTTCTTTTTCTTGACTAACTGTATTATTACCTACATCAAGTGGTGTAATGTTTAAATTACATAATTAAATAAATAGATTTTCCCAAAACAAGCATTTTAGTTAAAACACAGAAAACAAGAAAAAGTAAACCATACATGTCACTATGTTTTAATGAAACCATCTCACATCTTGGCCTTCAGTGGGACAATGCTGAGTGAGTGTAAGAACATTTCTAGGGTGGTCAGATAGTCTTGTCGGTGCCTCTTTAGGTGACCTGCGTGTGTCGAATCCTCCCACTTCTTCGCTGTGATGTCCATTCCGCGCTTCCGCCATATATCGATCACTTCCTCCATAGCTCGTGGGTCGCTCATTGCATCGTTCTCACAAAAAAAGAACAGTGCAGGAGCGGTGACGGGAGTGTTCCAAAACACCTCAATGCCCTTGTTAAAGTAGTCCACCGTTTGGCGTCTGAATATTCCAAAGTACAACAGGCTTATTTGTTTTACCAGTGTCTCCCAACGTGGAAATACAGTCTTACCAAGACCTGGGCAAAAAAGAGAAAACTTTTATTATTTTGCACATTCTCTCCTATTCATACATGCATCATTTCATGGATAAATATACATATTTGGATTGTGCATAATGGCTGATGAATGAATGAACTGACCTATGGCCATATTCTCCAGAGAGCCCACCACCAAGCTATCGAAGACTTGGCCTTTGATCCTCTGTATGAGCGCCTGATATTTCTGCGTGTCCTGAGACACATGTACCAGCAGCTGAGAAAATGTGTAGCCACCGATAGAGAAGGCATGGACGAGCAGTGGGCGAGAGACAAAACGTTCGCTCTGAAGCAACTCCAGCAACCTCTTTCCATGTTCCATACCCCAGCGAGGCCACAGGAACTCTTGGACCTTGTGTAAAACAAACAGTACAAACAACATTTGAGAATCACTCTTTGACACTAGGAAGTTCAGGGATGTGTAGATCACAGTATATCTATTGCTAAAATAAATAAAGAAGTAGTAGGAGAATATCTGGTAATATTAAGTAAAGACCTTGGCTAACAAACTAATATTCAACCTGGATTTTGATGTTCTTCTCCTGACTTTGATATCAACTGTATGAATGAGGAAAAGAAAAGTGTGTCCAGAGAGAGAAACTCTGGGTTTAATAAGAAAAGCTGCCAGAGAACAAGGTTACAGCGTTAACAGTTAGTGGAATTGCCGGCAATAGCTGCTATTACAGCTGCAGGTCTGACTCCTCAGGCTTGTACTCAACTGCCATACAACTTCAACAACAAATAATCCTTTAAATAAACCTTTGTACCACTGATGGTGACACTGTACATCTTATCTGTTCTTGTAAATGTGTGTGTGGGCTGTGTCAGGGCAGATGTCTGTTATGGTGGAGTGGGATACGGGTGATGTCTAAACATGAGTGTGAAAAGTTATGACAAAAGAAAAGTCATTTCTACATGCATGGATGATATACATTTCTATTCTACATGCATGTATGTGTACACTATATTACCAAAATAATATACAAATGATATGTACTTTTTCCTACATCTAAGAATACTTAGTGAAAGAGCAGCCACAGCTATGTTGTTAAAGGTCCAGTGTGTAACATTTAGGAGTATCTATTGTCAGTAATGTACAATCACCTGAATATACAGATCCTTGTGTTTTTGTTACCTGAGCTGTTCTTATCTACATACGCCAAGGGTCCCCTTCCATGGAGTGCACCATGGTTAATCATCTCTCTGCAGTAGCCCAGAAAGGACAAACCAAACCCAAGCTGTAGAAAGGGCCTTTCACACCACTGTAGTTTATCCTACACCAGTGATTCCCAACCTTTTTTCTTAAGGGACCCCTGT